ATATAACACACTGGAATACGGAGTTGTACACACTAAATATAACACACCGGAATACCGAGTTGTACACACTAATATAACACACCGAATACGGAATTGTACACACTAAAACACCGGAATATAACACACCACCGGAATACCGAGTTGTACACACTAAATATAACACACCGGAATACCGAGTTGTACACACTAAATATAACACACCGAATACGGAATTGTACACACTTAATATAACACACCGGAATACGGAGTTGTACACACTAAATATAACACACCGGAATACCGAGTTGTACACACTAAATATAACACACCGGAATACGGAGTTGTACACACTAAATATAACACACCGGAATACGGAGTTGTACACACTAAATATAACACACCGGAATACCGAGTTGTACACACTAAATATAACACACCGAATACGGAATTGTACACACTAAATATAACACACCGGAACACACTAATATAACACACCGGAATACCGAGTACACACTAAATATAACACACCGGAATACCGAGTTGTACACACTAAATATAACACACCGAATACGGAATTGTACACACTAAATATAACACACCGGAATACGGAGTTGTACACACTAAATATAACACACTGGAATACGGAGTTGTACACACTAAATATAACACACCGGAATACCGAGTTGTACACACTAAATATAACACACTGGAATACGGAGTTGTACACACTAAATATAACACACCGGAATACCGAGTTGTACACACTAAATATAACACACTGGAATACGGACACACTGGAATACGGAGTTGTACACACTAAATATAACACACCGAATACGGAATTGTACACACTAAATATAACACACCGGAATACGGAGTTGTACACACTAAATATAACACACTGGAATACGGAGTTGTACACACTAAATATAACACACCGGAATACCGAGTTGTACACACTAAATATAAAACACCGGAATACGGAGTTGTACACACTAAATATAACACACCGGAATACCGAGTTGTACACACTTAATATAAAACACCGGAATACGGAGTTGTACACACTAAATATAACACACCGGAATACGGTGTTGTACACACTAAATATAACACACCGGAATACCGAGTTGTACACACTAAATATAACACACCGAATACGGAGTTGTACACACTTAATATAAAACACCGGAATACCGAGTTGTACACACTTAATATAACACACCGGAATACCGAGTTGTACACACTAAATATAAAACACCGGAATACCGAGTTGTACACACTTAATATCACACACCGGAATACGGAGTTGTACACACTAAATATAACACACCGAATACGGAGTTGTACACACTTAATATAAAACACCGGAATACCGAGTTGTACACACTTAATATAACACACCGGAATACCGAGTTGTACACACTAAATATAAAACACCGGAATACCGAGTTGTACACACTTAATATCACACACCGGAATACGGAGTTGTACACACTTAATATAAAACACCGGAATACCGAGTTGTACACACTTAATATAACACACCGGAATACGGAGTTGTACACACTTTATATAAAACACCGGAATACCGAGTTGTACACACTTAATATAAAACACCGGAATACCGAGTTGTACACACTTAATATAACACACCGGAATACCGAGTTGTACACACTAAACACACGTATTCTTAACCTCAAATCCTTACTACTAACCATGAATTAGAACAATATACTTTACATTCTATTGAAGTAATTTTTGTTGTTACTTTTTTCATGACAGAAAATGTTATAAAGCGGATATATCTTATCACACTATGGCCCTTTTATCAGCGTCATGGGACCAACTTTTCCGACCCAAAGTCCTCTAGGCGTACACGTTATTTAAGACCACGGTCTGGTCTACGTCATTTCGATTCTTCTCCACTCGCTTTAATATAATCGTAAGAAGCAAACATTAAGGTGGTACCTGGTGACTCCAAGATCGATATGTATATAATCCTGTTGTTACCCTAACGTCTGTTTAACAGTAGACGATAAAATATACATACGAGCATGTCTGTCCTATAGTAATTGTCCTCTAGAGGGTTGTTCAGTTTTTAGTTAAAACAAAATTGATGTACAGTTTTCATCGAGAGACTTCCTCAATGTAAAAAGTCTCGAGATGCTTTCTAGACGAATCAAATTTAATGAAACAATTGCTGATTAATTTCTTGACGTCATGTCACATGGTTCAAATGCTTTCTACATAATCCGATTGCGTGGCATATATGAGAGAGAAAAAAGAGTAGAGTTTTCTCCAAATGTGATGGTGGTCATTTTTGTCTAAAAACAATAAAGACTAGTTCCACCTGAACGAGACACTATACTAGATAAAACCTAACATCAACACGTGTACACTATATCGGTTAAGCTACACGTGCTACACCTAAGAGACTTCCTCCACGATCACGTGCCCTACCAGAGGCACGTCTTTGGTGTATACTCCTACCTATCCATATCACGTGTGCCGGATTACGTATCTGATTTAACAATCCATATAGTCCGCCAGCGATATATATCTTTAAATGTTCCGAAAAAAAAAACCATATAACACTTCTGGTGTGAAAATATTGATCTGGTAACACTTCATACAATACAAAAGCATGTCAACCACGGCTACCATCTGTTGTTATCAAAAATACCAACCTATAGGCAAAACCCGGTATGTGAATGGTCAATCATAACGAGATTTGTTCAATAAAAGATGTTTTTTCCGTTTCTTCAATAATTTGAGAACAACCGTTGTTCGACATATTACGATTGCCGAGCAAACTTTGTAAACTGTGTTTGTGCTGGAGTTGACGGATTGTATATCTACAAGTCCTGTTAACAGGTGGCCTCCTCGGCCTGTTGTACTTTACCCTGGCTGTGCCGTTCGTTGCGCGAACTGATAATAAATTATCAATATTTGGCAGTGTTAACCTAGTTCGATAACAGATAGAGGTTTTATGAGGTGATTGATGAGTTCCGAACTAAAGGTTTATCGTTCGTGTTTACGTTGTAATTTGCTGTTTACAAATTCTTCAACGGGATGCATTCAAAACAATGCATCCCTTTCAATTCTCGCAGGACGCAAGACCTTTGCGTTGAAGAACCTACAAATTATGACAAGTTCGATATCTTCCTGAACTCTCTCTTTTGAACTGAAAGATCGATGACGGGCCTTTATCGAACATCGGCTTCGTCATCAACCTCATCTATCAATTAATTAGCTATATGTACCTGTTATAACAAGTAGTCCCTGACCTTCGATTAACAAATCAAATCCGGAAATACTGATAACGACTTCCGGTCTTACAAACGACTTTAATCAGTAAAACGTTTGTACTGGTAGAGCGATATCTTTGTACTTTGAATTGAATTGTAAAAGGTAGGTTTGGAAAATCCATGAGGAATGTAACGATTTCAAAAAATAGCTCCGCATACCCGGGCAATACCCTACAGCCTTATTATAAAGTTGGGTGCAGAGCTGAGGTTGTGAAGAACCTCAATAAACTGTGTAGGTCCATAGGCCCAACATGCCCAGTGAAAATGGTGATCGCTGGTGATGTCGTTCTTGATATAATGAGCGGAATGCAAATTCAAGATGGCGGCCGTAACCGCCATATTGGATATCGGGCGACGACGAAAAACAATAGGGTTGTGTAAGTTCATAGACCCAACATGCCCAGCGAAAATGGTGATCGCAGGTGATGTCGTTCTTAAGATAATACGCGGAATGCAAATTCAAGATGGCGCCCGTATCCGCCATATTAGATATCGAGCGACAACGAAAAAAACAATAGGGTTGTGTAGATCCATAGGCCCAACATCCTCAGTGAAAATGGTGGTCACCGGTGATGTCGTTCTTGAGATAATGAGTGGAAGGCAAATTAAAGATGGCGGCCATAACCGCCATATTGGATATCGGGCGGCGACGAAAAACAATAGGGTTGTATAGGTCAATAGGCCCAACATCCTCAGTGAAAACGGTGACCACCGGTGTTGTCGTTCTTGAGATAATAAGCGGAATGCAAATTCAAGATGGCGCCCGTAACCGCCATATTGGATATCGGGCGGCGACGAAAAACAATAGGGTTGTATAGGTCAATAGGCCCAACATCCTCAGTGAAAACGGTGACCACCGGTGTTGTCGTTCTTGAGATAATAAGCGGAATGCAAATTCAAGATGGCGCCCGTAACCGCCATATTGGATATCGGGCGGCGACGAAAAACAATAGGGTTGTATTGGTCAATAGGCCCAACATCCCAAGTGAAAACGGTGACCACCGGTGTTGTCGTTCTTGAGATAATAAGCGGAATGCAAATTCAAGATGGCGCCCGTAACCGCCATATTGGATATCGGGCGGCAACGAAAACCGATAGGGTTGTATAGGTCCAAAGGCCCAACATCCCCAGTGAAAATGGTGATGACCGGTGATGTAGTTTTTGAGATAATAAGCGGAATGCAATTGCGGACAGACAGACGGACGGATGCCGTGCGTGTTCGCAATACCCCACACCCTTTCGGGCTGTGGGGTAAAAAAGGCACTTGTCAGGTTTAAGGTCTGGTGCAATCAATACAGCGACAGAAAAACAAGTATTGTAATCAATGTATAACATGTACCAGGTACCTAGTGGGAGTTACAGCTTCGAGATCCCATTTTTTTCAACCGAGTTTTATCATCGGAATTTTTATTTTACGTCGTTCACGAGTTCAACAATCAACATGAGCTCTGTAGAAATTTTATTTCGATGCCGTTAAGGGAAAATTTAATTTGAATGTCGGAGTAAATGCTATGGGGAAAGGAAGGTAAAAATTTACCATCGGTGTGGAAGTTATCCTTCCATGCATCATACAACGCAGCCAGTGCGTCTGGAATCCATGTTCTAAGTACTTTGAAGAATCCGATGTAGGCAACCAACCAAGTTTGCGTGTTTAGTACGAAAGGCAAAAGCGTTGTATTTTTGTATGTATAAAGGATAATCTTTCTTTACCTGATACCGTCCTGGGAGGAACAGTTGACGCTTGCACCATGAGACAGAAGAAGATGAGCTATTCCCCTGTGACCGCTCACACAGCTCTCGTGTAGGGGCGTGTATCCGGCGTTGTCTCGCACGTTCACGTCAACACGTCCTGACTGCACACAATGAAGAGCGATCTCCTGACAACAAAAATATCTACATATAATTCAAGTGTAACAAAACCAACGGTTCATCAATATTGAATTTCTCGTATAACTGCAAGACCCAAATAAGGTTTCTCACTCCATTTTTGAGTGATGTGTTCATTGGCGAGTTAAAGTGTTGTAATTCATCTACTTTAAGTTCAGTCTGATAAGACACGAGGTCTGCCCGAACACTTCATCCTTCCAATTAACTTCAGACCACTATTTATGAATACTGAACAGTCGAGTTTCACGCAATTTAGTCATGTCACATAAAACACAAGCATTTTATACCGCAGATAAATTTCAGTTAGAATTCTACCTGATCTGAACAAATCGACGGAGGGCGCAACAAAATCACTCACCGTGTGCCCCATTCTAGCCGCCCTGTGAAGAATGGTTTCCCCTGTGTCTCGACACACAGCTAGCTTCTTCACTTCGACAGGAAATTGAGAAGATCCATCGGACGGGAATTCAGTCTTAGTAGAAAACGAGGAGTCTTCTAAATCCCTCTCGTCGAATGAGAGAGAATCGTTGACACCATCCTCCACCATATCGCTGGTTATAGGAGGAACCTGTTGTTCCTGACATAAAGGAAAGGTTATTAAACCTCATCATCATTATACTGTTAACCTGCTTGATTTATTGGTAATTCTATTTTAGTGATCTCCGCACTGAAAATGTTGCGCTAAAATAACATTGCGCTAATTCTGCTTAAAAAGTAATTGTTAGTTGTGTTTATCTGTCAAAAGATCGATAATCTGTCAAAAGATCGATGATGTGCTAAACTTGAATAGCGCTAAATTAAACCTAAAGTACGCCCACAACATTCAATATTCAATTGATCGAAAATGATGAACTACAACTTTAAATCCTAATTATGAAAATTTAAGATGACGTAAGAGTTGTTTCCAAACTCATACCTTAAAAACAAGATCAATTTTGTCTCACCTGTTGCTCAATGCTATGCTGTCTTCGTTGGTCGTTCAGTTTCCGTCTAGCTGCCTGTCCCCGCCGCCTGGCACCTTCAAGCCTGTTACCCAGCTCTAGGCGCTTTGATCGTGCGCCGGTGGCGCCCACCAGCGTCGTGGTCCTCAACTGGTATCCGCCGCGCCTTGGACTATGTCTGCGCCCAAACCTCAGATGTTTCGGCTTGAACAACAAAGTCATCATCAACCCGCCTTTACTTTTTCCACTTCGAAGGGTTTGTTTAAGGGCAGAACTGGTGTCTCCAACCTCCCACGTCCCGGAATTAGCCGTCTTCGAATCTTTATTTCCGTTTTCATCCTTCCCGGGTTCAGTCGAATCATGCTCCGTCACAGAGTCTGTCGATAAACGTCGCTCTTGTGCCAACTTTTCTTGTTTTTCACTCATCCGACGACAAATTCGGCGTGCCGTCTGGCGCAATCGCTCCCGTCGTTTGAGCGCCTTTCGGCATTCCTCGCGCGAGAGTTCTCTGTCATAAGCGGCATTACGATCGTATATGGGCTTTTTACCTGAAAAAAATGTTAAAATCGTATAAACCTGAATATGTTGACCGCTGAAGGTTCGTTATTTCTATATATTATAGTGGTATTTTATTGTGTAATGTTGTTGTGGACTCTTTCAGGTAAAATTTCTGGAAATAGGAATAAAACAGTTAGGAATTTCAGTGGGTGTAGGTTTTTTTCTACATACGTTAGTTAAGTTCAGAAAGATCAGGTTACCCGCAAGACATTATATTTAATCTGAAGTTTAATACAGATATGCTTTATATCACAGCGCACTACTTACCAGCTGCCTGGGTTCGAGTCCGAGGCTCAAGCACCTTTGGTTTGAAGTCTATGAATCCTTTCGGTTTGGCGATCTTCTTTTTCTTCTTTCTCCTTCCAATCCATTTTTGTCTCCCTACAATCACCCAATAAACAGCAATTGAATTGAAATATTATACTACTTACTTAAAGAAATCTTAGAAGTGGTTCGACAAACAAAATATCAAACATTAAGCTTCGTTCAGAACAGGGTCATATGTACAATATGAACATTCTGTAAAGTACAAGAACTCGGTTTATACACAACGTAAACGACCAGATGTCGAAAGCAGTTTAGTGATTAAAATCATATTGTCACGCCTAATTGCGAGTGAAACATTACCAACGGAAAAAAAACAGTTTTTAACAAGAACCCCGACAATGTTTAACTGATATGATAACCTATTGCACGCGCCTCTTTTCCTCTGACGAAAACTTTGCACGCGTTATCAAGCAAGAGATTTTGAAATGAATTCACCAGTTCACAGGGTCACGTCATCTTTTTTTCCATCTTCTTGTCCTCGTCAAAGACGTTCATTTAAAAGCAGCAACCTCAATTAAATACTTCTAAAAAATATCCTACTATGTTTTTGATAATGTAAAATGGGAGTCGGATGAGGAATTTGTTGGGAGCAATCGCCCTGTCGTTGTACATTCATTTCCTGAAATAAAGTGACAATGACTAGATAATTCAGCTGACACTGAGAAGAGACTGAAATTCCGGCTATGGTGCCTGCATATCATGGCATCCCGAAAATTTGTCAATGCTTAGCCTGTGTGACAGAATTGATCAAATTGGAAAATGTCATTTCCGTTCTGTTTAAACTGTACACAGGCGATATACGAAATTGACATATTCCATGTAGCGCCTGTCTGGTAGGATGACGTAAGTCGCTACATTTCCGGTTTATTATGAGCTGTTTGCGGTGTAATTCGAGTCCCGATTACACGACTCGCCGCCTCCGCGACATTTTAATGTTATGTAAATCATGTGAATAATTTACATGAAAATACATACGTGACCAGCGTTATCAGATTGTGTATGTCTGTTGTGTGGACAACCCATTACATCTTCATTTGTAACATGGTACATATACTTGTACGTGATACGGTATCAGCTATTTGCATTTTTGTCGGACCCGAAGTAATGATGTTGTTGACTTTTATTTTGTTATCTGGCCTGATATGTAAACTTGTGTATACTTACCCAGTAAGCGATCTGTCCTGCTCATACGCTGTTTATTTCCTCTCGCTTTTCTCCGTATTTCATCAGCCTAGTAAAACAAATAACCACGAATTATCCTTCTCTTTATTTTCTCATTTGCAGAATATTTTACAAACATAATAAGATAGTTTCAAAAAATTCCCAGGCAAAATCAAATTGATTCCTGGGCGTAACTATCTTTTTGGTTCATCAATCTGAAGTTGCATCTGTTTTGTAATAATTATTGAGAAGCGTAGTATGGTGTGTGTGTGTGGGGGGGGGGGGGGGGGGGGGGTAATATGACGGTGTCTGCTCCGTAAATCTATATCTGAACAGGATTTGAGGTTATTCGAACTATGGACTAAAAGTTATCTTACCCAGACCTTCGATACTACTTATAGCGTCATCTACCTTTAGATACGGAGCATGTTTCCCGTAAATAACTGTCAGATAAAGTGTTGTATTTATCCCATTACATGTACCGTAGATACGGCGCGTGTATATATAGATACAAACCCAATTATACATGCAGTATGCAAATGTATTATCAACATAGCACAGACCTGGCGTAAAGTTACAGAAAAATATATTTGTGCAACTGTCTGTAACCGTCGACATACTATAAGAGACATTGTACCTGTCACAAAAGTGGACCGAAAAATATATTCAACCCTGATATCAATTTCCATTCCACCGATTTTAATGCAGAATTTAAACATAGTATCGCTTTAACAGAGGTAGTTTGTCCTATTTAATATCATCTGTTACATATAATTAAGATATATAAACCATTTTCTACAGTTTACAGTAGTTTAGGTGCCAGAATAGGAACGGTTCGGGGGTTTCGGGTGTCCTTGGTCGACATGTTGTTGTGGATTCGAGAAAAACTACGAGCAAGCTTCATCGGTAAGGCCATTGATGGATTCCGGGGAAAAAAACCTCAGATAAAAACCTAACTATAGAGCCAGTTTTCTTTTATCAAAAAACATTTACAGATCAAGGAATGACGGGATGGGATAAAACAGAATCTTCAGTCGTGTTCTTTTACTGTCGTTAATAGTTTAGCCAGGCTTGGGTGTTGGAGGAAAGCCGAAACTTCCTGGGGAAATCACCGACCTAAGGCTAGTGACTTTCGGTCAGCTGTTCCAACTAGGCCTCGTCGCGACCCAGTGGTGAAGGACGCATGATAAAGGCTGACAGACGCTTTCACTATTCAGCTATAGCATGCAAGAAAGAGACCCCTCATTAACTTTGCATAAAAATATTAATATGTTGGCATTTTTAAGCATGACGACATGGACTTACTAATTTCTCTGTAGTTTCGGTTCAGTGAATTCGTCTAAACCCAATTATCAAATATTTTAATTCAACTCAGAATCATTGTCATGCCTTTGATATTTCCGAAAGACGAAATCCTTTATGGAGAAGGTTATGTTAAATTCCCGTATAAGATTGGTTATCCAACATTAGGACAGAAAAGACGGCGTATCCGAAAACAAGCCGAAACAGCTTATAGTATAATACACGTGTGTGTATAGATGTCTTACGAGCGAGATGAAAATGCTTTCATAAATAATATTCAAATGCAACATAACTGGAATAATTCTGCATTAGTTTAAATTAGTTTAAAAAACTGTAACGAAATATTCCTGTAGTTTTACAATAAATAACAGGACAACCTTCATCCATCACAGAATTTGTCACGTCAATGGCGGTGATACATTAATGTATAACACATCGTACGTCAAAGCGATACCAACGTGTCACTCACATTTCAAGAGGTCTTTATCAACATATTTATATAGGACGAATATATGACATTTACTAAAGATGACATTTAAATTTATTCTGTCGCTTTCCTTATTGACCAAGCACCTGTCCTTGGTTTCAAACCATCGTTAATCATCCCACTTGTCAAAACTCTAGTCACACATTGATAGCTACAAACGTGTTTCTAAATATCTATTGTATTATATTTGTATTGTATGTATATGTGATCGATAAGTTTTTAAAAAGTGTTTCAATCAAATAAAATTACAAATTGTTCTTTTTTCTTGAAATGATTTTTTTTTTTTTTTTGCAAATCTTTTTCCCTTGAAATATTTTTTTTGCAAGTCGAAGTTAAAGATGAAAGCGTGAGTGCCACTTCCGTGCTTTACCGGTGATTCAGACTGCTCGAAGTGGAGACGACACTAGGAAGAAACTGATGCTGAGTCAACAACAGTGTCGTGTAACGACAAACGTTAGTGATCTTATTCAGTTTCCGAAACGGCATCTCTTAAGAAAACTGGATCAAAATTATTCGACAAATATTACTATAAGCTAGGCTAACGAGTTTTAAAAATGCAAATATATTCTGTAGCTTTGTAAATATGAATCCCATTTAAACAGTATATGACATTAAATTGATCAAACCCGTCTACCTCCTGTACGCGAAATTGTGTGTCATAATTACGCAAGCGTGTGTAAATAATACCAGACGGTGATATCATCAGATGTCTGTCACTGACAACAGTTCTGTTATATCATCAGATGTCTGTTACCGACAACAGTTCTGTTATATCATCAGATGTCTGTTACCGACAGCAGTTCTGTTATATCATCAGATGTCTGTTACCGACAACAGTTCTGTTATATCATCAGATGTCTGTTACCGACAACAGTTCGGTTATATCATCAGATGTCTGTTACCGACAACAGTTCTGTTATATCATCAGATGTCTGTTACCGACAACAGTTCGGTTATATCATCAGATGTCTGTTACCGACAACAGTTCTGTTATATCATCAGATGTCTGTCACCGACAACAGTTCTGTTATATCATCAGATGTCTGTCACCGACAACAGTTCGGTTATATCATCAGATGTCTGTCACCGACAACAGTTCTGTTATATCATCAGATGTCTGTCACCGACAACAGTTCTGTTATATCATCAGATGTCTGTCACCGACAACAGTTCGGTTATATCATCAGATGTCTGTCACCGACAACAGTTCTGTTATATCATCAGATGTCTGTCACCGACAACAGTTCTGTTATATCATCAGATGTCTGTCACCGACAACAGTTCTGTTATATCATCAGATGTCTGTCACCGACAGCAGTTCTGTTATATCATCAGATGTCTGTTACCGACAACAGTTCGGTTATATCATCAGATGTCTGTTACCGACAACAGTTCTGTTATATCATCAGATGTCTGTTACCGACAACAGTTCTGTTATATCATCAGATGTCTGTCACCGACAACAGTTCTGTTATATCATCAGATGTCTGTCACCGACAGCAGTTCTGTTATATCATCAGATGTCTGTTACCGACAACAGTTCGGTTATATCATCAGATGTCTGTTACCGACAACAGTTCTGTTATATCATCAGATGTCTGTTACCGACAACAGTTCTGTTATATCATCAGATGTCTGTTACCGACAACAGTTCTGTTATATCATCAGATGTCTGTTACCGACAACAGTTCTGTTATATCATCAGATGTCTGTTACCGACAACAGTTCTGTTATATCATCAGATGTCTGTTACCGACAACAGTTCTGTTATATCATCAGATGTCTGTTACCGACAACAGTTCTGTTATATCATCAGATGTCTGTTACCGACAACAGTTCTGTTATATCATCAGATGTCTGTTACCGACAACAGTTCTGTTATATCATCAGATGTCTGTTACCGACAACAGTTCGGTTATATCATCAGATGTCTGTTACCGACAACAGTTCTGTTATATCATCAGATGTCTGTTACCGACAACAGTTCGGTTATATCATCAGATGTCTGTTACCGACAACAGTTCTGTTATATCATCAGATGTCTGTTACCGACAACAGTTCTGTTATATCATCAGATGTCTGTTACCGACAACAGTTCTGTTATATCATCAGATGTCTGTTACCGACAACAGTTCAGTTATATTATCAGGCGTCTGTATTTGACCATAATTCTTTCATATAGCGTGGCGTTTAGTTATACCTACCGGAGAGAGTTTGATTACTTGGCAGTTTTAAGAGAATGGCGTGGTTTGACTGGTGTTTACTTATACATGTCTCGAGTTTGGTGTTTGATTAATTTGCAGTTTTAAGAGAATGGCGTGGTTTGACTGGTGTTTACTTATACATGTCTCGAGTTTGGTGTTTGATTAATTTGCAGTTTTAAGAGAATGGCGTGGTTTGACTGGTGTTTACTTATACATGTCTCGAGTTTGGTGTTTGATTAATTTGCAGTTTTAAGAGAATGGCGTGGTTTGACTGGTGTTTACTTATACATGTCTCGAGTTTGGTGTTTGATTAATTTGCAGTTTTAAGAGAATGGCGTGGTTTGACTGGTGTTTACTTATACATGTCTCGAGTTTGGTGTTTGATTAATTTGCAGTTTTAAGAGAATGGCGTGGTTTGAGTTTTACTTATACATGTCTCGGTTTGAGTGTTTGATTAATTTGCAGTTTTAAGAGAATGGCGTGGTTTGACTGGTGTTTACTTATACATGTCTCGAGTTTGGTGTTTGATTAATTTGCAGTTTTAAGAGAATGGCGTGGTTTGACTGGTGTTTACTTATACATGTCTCGAGTTTGGTGTTTGATTAATTTGCAGTTTTAAGAGAATGGCGTGGTTTGACTGGTGTTTACTTATACATGTCTCGAGTTTGGTGTTTGATTAATTTGCAGTTTTAAGAGAATGGCGTGGTTTGACTGGTGTTTACTTATACATGTCTCGAGTTTGGTGTTTGATTAATTTGCAGTTTTAAGAGAATGGCGTGGTTTGACTGGTGTTTACTTATACATGTCTCGAGTTTGGTGTTTGATTAATTTGCAGTTTTAAGAGAATGGCGTGGTTTGACTGGTGTTTACTTATACATGTCTCGAGTTTGGTGTTTGATTAATTTGCAGTTTTAAGAGAATGGCGTGGTTTGACTGGTGTTTACTTATACATGTCTCGAGTTTGGTGTTTGATTAATTTGCATTTTTACGTGACTGGCGTGGTTTGACTGGTGTTTACTTATACATGTCTCGAGTTTGGTGTTTGATTAATTTGCAGTTTTAAGAGAATGGCGTGGTTTGACTGGTGTTTACTTATACATGTCTCGAGTTTGGTGTTTGATTAATTTGCAGTTTTAAGAGAATGGCGTGGTTTGACTGGTGTTTACTTATACATGTCTCGAGTTTGGTGTTTGATTAATTTGCAGTTTTAAGAGAATGGCGTGGTTTGACTGGTGTTTACTTATACATGTCTCGAGTTTGGTGTTTGATTAATTTGCAGTTTTAAGAGAATGGCGTGGTTTGACTGGTGTTTACTTATACATGTCTCGAGTTTGGTGTTTGATTAATTTGCAGTTTTAAGAGAATGGCGTGGTTTGACTGGTGTTTACTTATACATGTCTCGAGTTTGGTGTTTGATTAATTTGCAGTTTTAAGAGAATGGCGTGGATTAGTCGGTATTTAGTTATACATATCTTCAATTTGATGATTGATTGATCGGTGAGTTAAATGAAATGACAAGACTTTGTCGGTGTTTTGTTACACCTAGATTTAACCTCGAGTTGGATGTATTTCTAGTTGTTCCTCTGTCGGTGATAATTTCACAATTGACCAGACTTGAATTGTGAAGTGATTAGCGAGATTGTGTTTGTTACACTTACCTTGAGTTTAGTGTTTGATTGCTTGGCAGGTTTTGGTGATGACGGGGATTGTTCTGTTCGTTCTTCCATTTCTTCAAAACGTTTGATAGCTCTCTAAAATCGAAACACAACAAATGGTATTCAGTATTTTGGACAAATATTCTTTAAAATTGAAAATGTAACGACGCTTTCAGTAGGATGATATATATAACACATTGATAGGACGAAAATAATTTTATTTGAGAAATTTGTTTTTCAAGGTATATTAGATGCCTATGATAATATTAATATTGTTCACAGTGGGGTGGGGGTTTGGGTGGGGATGAGGGTTTGGGTTGGGGTGGGGGATTGGGTTGGGGTGGGGGTTTGGCTGGGGATGAGGGTTTAGGTGGGGATGAATGTTTGGGTTTGGGTGGGGGTTTGGGTTGGGGTGGGGATTTGGGTGGGGATGAGGGTTTGGTTGGGGATGAGGGTTTGGCTGAGGATGAGGGTTTGGGTGGGGATGAGGGTTTGGGTGAGGATGAGGGTTTGGGTTGGGGTGGGATTTTGGGGTGCGGTGGGGGTTTGGGTGGGATGAGAGTTTGGATTGGGGTGGGGTTTTGGGTTGGGGTGGGGGTTTGGGTGGGGATGAGGGTTTGGTTGGGGATGAGGGTTTGGCTGAGGATGAGGGTTTGAGTTGGGGTGGGATTTTGGGTTGGGGTGGGGATGTGGATAAAACATGAAATACTGTTATGCATCACTTGCTCTACGGCCTTGATACTTCTATCAACAAAATAATCAGTGTGTTATTTGTTCAGAGGCTCCACCTACACGTATTTCAAGATTGATGCGAGGAGCTGGAGATCACGTCTCGCGCAGCGCTCATCTCGTAAAGCGGTGACTTTCCCCGGCATAAAGTTTGGGGATGGTAATGATTTTTCCAGGCTGACGAACACAAGAGTTCGTTCCATCAGAACTCGAACTGACCCGTCATTACAAATAAACAGTCATCGTCTTATAAAATAATCATCTAGTTATATTTATTCTTTGAACCGGACTTCTGACGATTGTTGTGTTAAGGATCATTTAAACCTGGAGAATTGTTGTTGACCTGTTTCCGTGATCAAATGTTAGCAAAATTCACAACACAAATCCTTCCGAGTATTCTTCGTAGAAATCATTTCGCGTCGATGATAAAATTCTCGGAAATATCCAAACTCGCGCTTACACAGAAATGTCTCATCTGTAAAAGTAACGTATATCACTATTTATGAAGAATATCTCATATGACGTTACATTTATTCTTTAAATAATTAAATTCTAAAACGTGAATACCTTAATAAGGAGTCTGGGCGTCCTCCCTATGTATGCTAAGAACTACGTAATTGTATGTGTCGAATGCGCGTGTTTACGTCTCCTCGAATCTAGAGATCCTTCCCACTGGAGCCGGAACTCATCGAGACATCCTAGACACTACACTACCACGATACTACACACTAATCACGGAACAGTAACTACCATTTAAAAAAAACAACTTTTGTATGTCTTGGCACGGGGACAAAATCAGAAGTCCTCAGTCATGCGAACGTAAAAGTTAAGACCAAAGGGAGGCAATTTCACGGACATTGACCTCTTGGGATTAGAAAATTTGTTATCTTAAATAACATACTTACCAACAAAGCCCTCTCTTCACGACCAAGATTTGCAGGGTCATCGGTCAAAAGGTCATCGGTCTTGGCCTTGACTTTGGTCTCTGCAACGTAACCTTCTGAGTTTGCGATTTCCGCTAGCAAGGATCGAGATTTCTCAGCCGAAGACGACCGAGATTTGTCTGCCGATACAGGTCTAGATGCGGACGACTTCCGTCCGCGGAATATATCAGCCTCGTTATCGGCCGACTTTAAAGGACAGTCGGACAGCAATGTTTTACGTTCCACTTTATTTTCACTTGATATTTGCTTCTGTCGATTTAAACTTTTGACTTTGTTGCGCGATCTTGAAAAACTTGAGATGTCGTCTTTATCCAACACTAGCACATCGTCGTCAATGAAACGCTCATCAAACTTCAGATCACCAAACGTCTCACTAACACTGATACTGGACGGTTTCCGGTCAACAGATTTGTTTGAATCGACGTCACATTTAGGACTTTCACATGACTGCGATCTAGTAATTTCTGCTTTCGTTTTTGCCCGCATAGTACTGTGACCGTGTACCATTGGTGATACGTTCGCCACGGGGATATTTTTACTATAACAAGAATTCCATTTGTTAAACGAGTTACCTCCCATAATAGAGTGGTCTGTACGATTTTGACGATTATCGCCTTCATTAAAAGCAGGACTATCCTCTAACCGACTTTCCGACTTATCATTTAATCCTCCCACAGAAAACTTCCGTATCAATGATATTTTCGAGCCTTGTTCTAGACGCATGCGCTGTGAAGACACGTCTGGTGGATCAAGTGTTGGGGGTTCACCTATAAGTGGCGATACCATGGCAGGCGACAACTTCTGTTGTGGACTCAGAGTTGGCATCTTTGGGGACTCGGGGAAAGTAGGGGAAGAATTCTGGAAACTGCTCTGATTTAAATGAGTGTCCGTTGTTGCATATTGGACAGGTTTAGTTTTAGGAGTAGAAATTGTGTTCACGATTTTTTTCAAACATTCATCATTATTTACAGCGTTCATGATGATCTGCTTCTTGGAATATGGCCGTGGAGCTTTTACTACGACGGTCTCTGACTTGGTTTCCTTTGCACACGACTGGACAGATTGATTTACCGAGGTTGTAGCCACACTTCCTGGAATAGCTATCGTGAGAGGGTATGTATATCTCTCAATTTCGGGCTCTTCCGTCTTCCGAGCATCGCTACCACTAGCTGTTTGGCACTGGTTGTCTTTTTCCTTTTTTATATCACATTGTAGAGTTTTCTCGCTATTGGTGACAGGTCTATGTACCGGAAGTTGTTTGGGTACGGAGAACGCTTTCTCTTCTTTAATACACACAACAGGATCTAACGAATCGGACGGTGAAGAGGCAACGGTACCAGGGCGGTCTGGAATAGTTCGCTGCACTGAAGAATGTTTCAAAACCGAATTTTGTAAATTCGTTTTAGTATCACAGACATTTGTGTTGGAATGAATATCTTGATTGTCGCTAGACGGAGTTTTACACACACCACTCGTGCCCCTGATGATAGATCTCTCGACACGAGACACGGGAACCACGGGAGAAGACATGGCACTGTGTACAAGGGGACTCAGTGAGTGCGATAGATAAGGTAATATATTACGCCCACCTGATGGCGAACTACCACGTGATCCAGTCTTTGACTGCACAGAAAGTTGGCGAATGGCGGAGGGCGAATGTCCTCTATACGATGAAGCCGAGCCCCGTGAAAGAACTCCAGGAGAGTTTTCGCGTGTGTATATATGTCCATTATTAGTACCAGCCGGCGAATGAGGTTCGGTGAATGTATGTGTAGCAGGGGTGAGGTGAGAATTGAACCCTGAACCCTGTTCCAGTCGTCGCGATGGATCCGTCGCCATCATGGCCCTATGCTGCTTTATTCTGTCGTTGTAAATCTCCGCGTCGCTATGGAAATGCTTTGGAGAATTTGCAGATATTGTACTATCAGGACTACATCGCTGAATGGCTTCAAAGTGCGGGGACTGTCGTCTGGACATACTACCCCCGCTCATATTGTAATACTGAAGATTAGTGGACGGACTGAACCCAGGAACATTTGTCCGGCTGGACTGGCCGGTGTAGCTCGAATAACCAGCAGGACCAATTGGACCAGCGTGCACAATACCGCCCGAATGATTACCGGAAGTAACGGAGAGACACGTGTATCCAGAATTATCAACACTTGTGGAATATGTCGCATTTGTTTGTTTCTCAATTGAAGTTCTTGTAAGTTCATTTGTAAACCCCGTAGCATCTATCGAATTTTGCTTGATAGTGAATGTTTGTCCATGAGAACCACGTGATTCCATCTGTTTACTGAAATGTCGACTGTTGTCCGTGTTTTGGGAAGAGTTATCTGTCCTTGTGTTGTCACGTAATGCACAGCCTTGGAGACCCTGCTGACTTGATGGTTCCTGTTTTCTGGGTCGCTGTGGAGTGTAACCTTGAAGTACAGGAGAGGCTTTTTCAGATAGTTTAGATTGAATACATCTCTCTGGAACTATATCGTCACGGAGATGACGTTGCTGCTGTTGTTGATGTTGTTGATGGTGATGTTGTTGTTGTTGATGGTGATGTTGTCGCATGATTTGGCGTTTCAGCTCATGTTGAAATAAAGTATTGGAATGAATTTGCTCATGTGATGTGGTCTGACCTATCGCCTTCTGTTCCTGTTTGATATATTGGGAATGATTTTGGAATCCGTGAAGTTGTTGTTGGAGCTTTTGTTGTTGCTGTTGTTGCTGCTGCTGTTGCTGCTGTTGTAGTTGCTGTTGATTCAACTTCTGCTGCTGTTGTTGTTGAGGTGAAAGTTGGTGTTTGCTTATATGCTGTTGCAATGATGAATGTTGTTGCTGTGTTGACAACGGTGGTTGTTGTGGAAACTGATGCTTTGACATCTGTTGCTGTGAAGACAACTGATGTTTCGTTAAATGTTGTATCTGTTGTGTGGAAGCTTGTTGTCTTTGTTGTATGAGTTGATGTTTCTGAGACAAGAGCTGTTGTGGAGTTAGATCCGGCTGTGGGGACTGCATGGCTTGTTGACGGATTTTCAACTGTTGCAAATGTTGCTGATGCTGATGTTGTTGTGGCTGATGTTGCTTTTGTTGGAAAAAATGATACTGATGTTCCTGAATTTGTGAAGTAGCAGGAGATTTGTCCAATGGAAATCCATTTTTGATCACGGTTGGCTTTCCTTCAAAGTCGGTACTTAGCTGTCTTTTATAAGTGTCCCCCTTACACGAGTTACTTGTATCCTCGTATCTAGATAGACTTTGGCGGAAACCGAAGGATCTATCCGGTGTTTCGGGTGTTCCCGCAACCCCTTGGCAAACCCTCTTAGAACCAGACAAGACACACATTTGTATATGGTTTTCATCCGTAGAATCCGCTGTTCTTTTCCTAGTTTTTAACGATAAATCTAGAGGACTTTCGGCATTACGAGTCGGCTTTGATTGCACACTGAACACCGATAAATCAAGAGGGGCCGTTGCAATCATTTCCTCCAGCTGCTCCCCGTTCAGGTGTTCCGGAATTACAAACGTCCTCGGAGATTTCTGTCCAGGCCGAGGAGTTCCGGAAGAGGCCCACTCTCCACCACCAGGCATACTGTTTGTTTTTATTTCTTTAAACATCTAAAAAAGGGGAAAATCCAACATTAGTATGCGTGAATTTACAGCGAATTCACCTTAATCATCCTAAGTCGTGAACGAGGTTTACGCAGCTGACAACTCACCAAATGTAATTACAAAACGAACACAGAAATACACAAACTTGCCCTGAATGACACGAGTCCGCGAGCCTTACAGAACTTGCTTCCTGACGCTCAGCTGTGTGTCTGGTGTACCACGGTAGATATATATATATACGTATACACGCAGTCGATAATTTTCGTCAACGTAAGACCACTGTATTAGTTTACTTCACGCCTTGACGAGCGGCAAGTAATTTATTAAATTTCGGTCACAGTCGTGAAAGATTGTCATTGATATCGCTAAATTAATCATGCAGAACAGCTTCCTTTAATAAAATATATATTTTCAATATTGATTGAGGAAATGTTATACAAAAAGGGAAGTTAACCAGGCTCAGAGCCTCGGTTTAGATCGAACCTGACGCACGCCAGTATGGCCGGTAATATCAATTGTTAGCAGGTCTGAATAAACACGCTTGTCCTTGCTGTCTGTTGTTCACGTTTGTTTACATGTACACTGTAACAGATACCAAATTTTATATTTCATAATACATATATTGTGGCAAGAAATCAATATGTATAACGTTGTTTAAATTGCAAAGTACAATAAAGTGTGAATTTAATGATATATAACATCATGAATATACTTGTTAACTGGGTGCTGTATCTTCTATCGGCATTTAACTAATACAGTCGCTGGTGACGCAACACAAGCAGATCTCCCGAAGGATAAATTACGTTCTCGTGTTTTTCAAAATTGTCCAGAAACTTTCTTCTCAAACACTGTCTAAGATATTACATTTCATGTCTCCTCTCACCAAGTTAGTTCGGTAATATTATTGTTGTATTCAGGGGAAATTTGCACATGAAAAAGTCTCGGTTGTCTTGGTTTGGATCAAATTTCGTATTGACATCGCTTTATCAACTTACCTGTATATCGATATAACATTTCATTCACGATATCATATATATACATTCTACGTACGTTCAGTATGTAATTTCGAAATATCTTATTGTTGACTTTTAAGTTTTGTGAATATTCTGGCGATCTCGTCAGTTTCGTTGCCATGTTTTTCATCAAAGTGTATATTGTAACTTAATCGTACAATGAACAGAAAGGGTCATTTTGAGACGAGATCTCTTAGAAACAGTATTAGGTTGCTGCCTCATTTAACACCATACGGAAGTCCCGTCGCATGTCATCTAAAGCGTATTTAGGTTAAGTGTCTTGTCCAAGGCACAACCACGACAACACAGACAGATTCATTTCTCCTATGAACACAAACCGCTGCGGGAAAGAATGATGTTGCACTTTAGTGTAAGACATGTAGCGCCGAGTATTCCTGCTGCATAAAACCCCTTTTTCTCACCCCCATTCGGGCAAGCATGACTGATAAGCTAAGATCATCCACCAAAAAACTTCCCCACGATTCGTTACTGGTTCAATGTTTCAGCGAAAAATCAATTATGACATCCATGTTTTTTATTCAACACTATATACAGGAGAGAATAACGCCTAGGTTCCTGTAGTATTTTACATGTGAGTAATATGAGAAATTCACAGTGATTTGGTGTAAAGTTTAGAATGAATGTCAGTCAACTGGCGAAAAAACTCATCCCGTAATGGAAAAATCCGTATAGGATTATTATTTGTAATTTAAATCTATCATACTCTTTCTTTAGGTAAACGAGAAGCTACAATATCAACGAATACAGAAATATCGGCGATCATAAATAATAGATGTTTACAGGTCTATGTCGGTCATGAACAACATCTTCAAGAACTACTCCGCTCACCATTAGAATTTACTATGCCCACGCAAACTATGTTCTAGACGATTTTTCATGCCCATTCAGCTTTAATGCGTTATGGGATTACGTAACACAGCTCATACAATACGTGATAACTATAATCAGCTGAAGTCATATAACATGTCGCACCTGTTACGACGAAACACCACGAAATCGTGAACGATCGAATTCCATGCTTGACACGTTTACTTGCGTAATAGTAATCCTTGAACTATACAAAACCGATCACAATTTCATCGTACATGATGGAAGTCGGGGCGCACGAGACGTTCAAACATACCAGTGCAGGAATATAAACAACGGAACTTGTCCAACACAAATAGGCATTCATGTCACCTTTACATTTTAATGTTGTATCCGGATAAGTGACATCACTAAAAAAAGTCTGGGAAGTTGTTTGTGTATACGACTCGCTCCTACGCTCATTTCTTTCCTACAACGGAAGGAGACCATATGTGTTGGTGGTTATATGTTAAACTGCCAAGTCTGAAAGTGTAATATCTGTTTTGATTTCTAAACCGGAACTCGTACACTAGCGTAAACTATAAACCTCCCGCCGCGGGCAATAAATCTCCAAAATTATTTACGTCCCCTAACGTGCTCTTCATCGGACCAGCCCTAATTCCCTTAGTTGGTCGCGGTGTATACGGGGTCTTCAATAAATAACTTTTGATATGATATTACTAATCCTATATTTCGGTTCTTTTTACGCTCCCCAGAATTAGATACAAGACTTTCATACATTAACCTGCTATCGTTCCTGTCCGCTTGGCTTCAGTCGTTGATGTTTTTTTCACGGCGAAGTCAAGCGGAGCGTAAGAACCAATTCAAATTTGGATGCAAACTGTCAAATTTCAGTAAGATATTAAGCTTTCTCCCTCGTGCCAATAATCCACATATCTATATATCATCTAATATTTAATTTTATGGTAGGGAAAAGTATAACAATGACATATTTTACATGGTATTTCTAAATATCAAAGAAAAGGTAATGAATACAAGGTGTCAGAGTAACATGGACCTGGCCACTTCAACAAAGCAATTGAGATAATTTCCCTAAATTTCGTTTCGTTTCCAATTAATGAAAACGTTTTGTTTCCCGTTTGTTCGTGAGGTGTATCGCCCCGTCATTAGATTTTGAGACAAACTGGAATTGCTGACGGCTACCTCACTGAACAAAATGCAGGAGGCTCGCGACAAACCATCCATACCAATTTGGGGCAAGTTTCTTACCAAATTACACAGCCACTATTGACATCATGTGATCTAGTCTTCCTTAGTAACAAAATGTGTATCACGACATCACAGAAAATTCAGTTTATATAACGGCACGCTAGAGTTTCAGGTTGGAATGTAGGATGCAATTACTGCACTGTTTCAGCGAAAATGGCTGCTCATTGTCATGACAAAATGACAAAACTGAAAAGTGGGATACAGCGCATGTATTTTTCGCACGTGAACATATAAAAAAAAACTGCCGTGCTTCGTTGTATCGTTATAAACAGTAACTCGGCTATCCATCGCTCAGACATATCTCATATCACAAACAAAACGATCTATTTTTTACGTTTGTGATTACACGGGTGAGCGTAAAGCTTCCAGAATGCCCATTTCAACCCAATATTAATTGGTCCGGATCGTAAAAACGTTACATCTTCAAATAAGTAGATGATAGCCTTTTAATCCTCAACTTCACCGAGTTTCAGAATATTTCAATTAATCTTCAGCATGTCGTGTCGACGTGCGATTAGAGTAAAGCAACAACGTACATCCCGAGCAGCCGATGTGTAACTTGAGCACACGTTTAAAACAGCACACAATCGATAAACGGATCGCTCCATCACGTTAAACCATTGTGTGGAGCTAAACGGCATTGATCTTTATTCCAATACACAAATACGACATTAATCTTTAATGTTTACGCCGTCTCACTAAAAGAAAACAAAAACAAGACAAAATTGAAAATAAACCCATTCCCATGTTTTTAACATTATTTCTTGCAATACAAATGTCAACAAATAAACAAACAAATCAGTGTACAAGCCGATTAGGTCATCACTATTCCTACAAAACGTATAACTTTTGTATAAAAATAACCAGTAAACATTTAGCGAATGACAATATTTGGTGACAACATCGAAACAAGCAACTTTACCTCCCTCTGGTTTTGGTACCCATAGTGTTACTTAACTTAGACTACTGTGACAGGTGAATCAGTTTAGTGTGTCGATTTATCTATTGGAATCTGGTGATAAATACCAACTGTTTACGTCAATATTGTCTGCCCAGAGAGAAGATAAATGTCGAATTATAGTGCAATCCCACTGAAACGACCAAGATAATCAATACGAGCTTTTTCATAACGAAGCCACAGGAAAGTTTTAAATGAATTTTTAAACATTAATAGTTACGACTTCTTCAACAGTAGAAATCCTAATCTCAACAACGTTCTCGAGTTTTTACTGCCAAACACGTAGAATTTCCGGATTACGGCACCGAATCCGGTTTATTCGTGTACAACAAATATCATACGTGTTACAATAACGAATCAAAACACTCTCGCCATGAGAAGGTAGTCAAGAAAACAATACAGGGACATATACGTTACCTGAAGTAAGACAGGTGCGGTCCCATTGTGGCGCTTGCTGGACAATCGCCAGCTAAAGGTCAAGTTCAACTCAAGTGGTCAATCACCCAGGATAAAAGTAGTCACTTCCGGTCAACGACCTACAACATCTGCGTAGCTACAGAGTTCTATAGAGTTCACTACACTACAATCCCCATACATTTTCGCTAAGCGAACTGTCCGAAAATGATAAAATTCAGAATTTGTCCGTAAGACAGCCAATTTATTATACCTGTCGATGACACAAGTAACACCAATATGAAAAGCCCGAGGTAATTCAACCCGACCTACATTTCTGAATACTAATGAAGTATGTGTGGGTACACACTATAATGTCCGTACTGAGTGCATGAGGACTCCGTGTAGCGTGCACTCGATAGCCGATTAACACAATACACAAACACGACTTCACATCACTTCACTCGGTGAAAAAAAGAAAAAAAAGAGCATGACCACGTCTTAAACTACCAGTCCACCGTGAATTCCATAAAATACCAACAATT